GCCACTTTCTACAAAATATTGGGGTACAGACACTTTTTTAAAAAAAAATGAAGTTTAGGGGGGTCCTACATAGCTTCTTACAGGTAATTTTAGAGAAGAAAGATGCTCAGATGATGACTTCTTTACACTACTTTGCTATATGTCATTTTAATGTTATTCAGTTACTCTAAATAAAATTAAAGCCAAATGGAAGAAAGTTCTTGGTGCATACTTAGTGCATGAGCTCAGATTATTGTTATAGAAAATTTGGACCCTTCATTTCATTTTAAGAAAATGTGCTTAAGAATGACAGAAAGATCCTTGTGACTGTAGCTATTTCTTCCTCCTCCTCCTCCTCCTCCTTCTCCTCCTCCTCCATTTCTCCTTGCTTGTTTTTGAATTATTTGATGTTTTATGTGTTCTCCTTTAATCACTGAAATACCATTTTATAAATCAGAGGTGTGTTGCTTAGGTCATGTATAGCTGTTGTTTCCATCTGTAACCTTTTGCATGAGCCAAGTCATGAAAAACTGGTTGAAACTTGATACATGGAAGTGTGTTCATCATAATTGCAAGCTAAGGATGGGAGATGAGGACATACACGCAGGGGGGGAAATGCTGTGATGAAGAAGAAATTATATTCTCTCATCTGAATGCCATAGCTCAGCCTCAGAATCCAAGAACAGGTTGAAAAATGGGACTGGAGAAATTCCTGATTTCTTTTTGGGGGGAGCTTCTGCCAGTCAGTTTTGACCAAGAAATAAATTCTCTGATATGAAGGCAGCTTCCTACATTTCTGACTTCAAAACACACCATTTTTTTTTTATAAAAGTGGCCTTGGCTGGGAGTACCCATTTTCATTTGCATCAGAAAGCATACGTAGTTATTTCAATGTGGGTATATGTTGTATCTGTATCATTAATCAGCACCATAACACCTGGTTGTAGAACCTAGTTACTTTATGGACATGAAGTATAATTTTATTCCTAAGAATACTACAGTACAATGCAAGACTGGCATTTATCTAATTCTTGTTAAGTTAGGAGTTATATGAGATTTCCATGCTAGACTAGTTAAACAGGTTAACTGGTTATGAACCACAGAGTTTCATTGTGTCTTGTAAAAAGTCTAGGATGAAATGTTCCCTTTGATTTTGTTTTTTGCATATTTCCAGGCAGCTCATGGTAACTGAAGGATAAAGCATTTTTAAAGTTTTTTTTTTTAATGCAGCCCTCACAGAGATCAAGGTTTGGTTCTGCAAAGCAGGGTTTATTGTTACACCCTCCCATAATAACGTTCAGGTGAAAGCATCAACCACCTCTTGACATAGAGCAGGGCTACCAAACTCGCGGCCTGTAGGCCAGATGCGTTACATGCTGGCCACTCCCACACCTGGTTTAGTGAAGGGGGAAAAGTTGCAGTATGTCACATGACATCGCCATGACGATGTGAGTTTGACACTCCTGGCATAGAGGGTTCACTTGCTAAGTCACTCTCACCATTTGGTGGTATCTCCTAATTTTAAGCGATCTCCACCTATTGATTTTTGTTTATTGGAGAGAAAGATGAGACTAGCTTTAACAGTCTTAATTGAAATACTACTGCTACATTTGCCCGGCCATCTTTCAGTCTCTGCTAAATCATATCTTCCCCTATCATTATTTTTCCTCATTTTGCTAGATCATCCTCATTGTGAGAGATTCTGAGCAAAACAAAACACCCCACTCTCTCACACACACATACAGCCTCAAACAAAACCATTTGCATTGTGTTTCAAAGTTGTGCCAGACACTTCAAGAGAATAAAGTGCTATCAAAGTGCAAAGTGCTTTTATGGACCCAAACACCCTTGACACAAAAATATTATAGGTAGAGATGCTTCAGAAATGCTAGGTTTTGTTTTGTTTTGTTTGCACTGGTTTTGGCAGTCATCTCATGGTTTGTTTTTAAAATTAATATCTCTGGTCTTTACCCAATATGTGAGGACAACATTTCAGATGCAGCATTATGATCATATAGTAGCCAGTGGTGGTATACATTTTTCCAAATTGCACACTAACAGTCACTCATCTCATGTGGATCCTAGTTCTTAAGCATCAAGGAAAGCTTACTGGCTTTTGCTAATACTTCAACTTTGGGGATTTAACCTAAGTTATAAATTTGTTCACACTGAATGTCATTCCCTGAAATAGACTTTCCATGGCAGAGAGAGGAAAAAAACGTAAAAACTTGTGAGAAATCCTCTTCATTTAATGATTGCTGCTAAATAATATTTAAATAATTATTGACCCCCACACTGCTTGTATACATCATCAAGGCACTCAAGATCAGTAAAATAGAAATAAAAGTGCTTTTGGACTGATGTTTAGCAATTTTGAATCTTTAGGATAGAATTCTAGACAAGGTAGACTGTATATTCTGATGCAATTTCATGAAGGTACAAATTAATTGGAACACAAAGAGGATCCAAAAATGACATTTTGGCTTCAATCTTCAGCACTTGCTTCCAAAAATGAAAGTGCTACTGAACTAAGTTACTTCAGAGACATGTGTCTTTTGTTATATGTATACTTTGGTTTTAACTTGGCCTACATTCTTTTTCTAGGTGGAGACCCCTAATCTGGTTCTCAAATCTTGGATTTTCAATCACAGACACAAAGATCCATATACAGGAAAAAGTTTCATGTTTTCTTTATCATTTTTTCAAAATATTTGTTTCATTTCCAAATATAGATCTACATATAATTTAAAACTGTTCTAGAAATAGGTTCTTTCAGACAAGTTCTCCCATTGCTTTGTAACTTGGAACAGAGAGACAAAAGGAACAGGGATACAGAGCGAAGGTAGGACCAATGTAATGTCTACATCATCTCTGGGGGAAAGCAGACACATCCTGTGTTCTTTGGGTAAAGGTAGGACCAAATTGTCCTTTTTCTTCAGAAGTACATTTCTGTGTTGTATATCTTATGACGCATAAGTCATGTTCATACAACATGGTGAACCTGGTTATTAAATTAACTAGTTTTCAGGGTTTTGCACACTACATCGCATCGTAACTGAACCAGTTGACTGGGTTTGCATAACATTCAAGTCACAAAGACCAAAAGCCCAAGGTTAATGCTAACCAAGCTACGCTATGCCTTTAAACCTTTAATTTATCTGCTTAAGCATATTGTGCAATGCACACAGAGACTGAGATACTGATGTTTAACCTACACTGAGCTAGGTAACACAACTTGCTTACTGTTTGCACATTAGAAGGGCAGATATAGGCTACCTACCCTTCCAAAACCTCTGTGGGTTTGGAAATGAAAAGGAGAAAGAGCCCTTGAGATTCCTCATGATTGCTTGCATCAGTCAATGCACCCCTTTATTTTATTTTTTTCTCTCCCATTTCTACCCAGTCACTTTGCTGATAACAGTGGGTCTTTTGGCCCTCAGTCAGCGCAGACTTCCCAAACAACCAATCTTTGTCTGGTTGCAAACAAACATTGGAACCTTATCTCTAGCTCCAGACTAAGTTAAAGAAAATAAATAAATATTAAAATACATAAAAGACAAAGTTATGTTGCCTAATATTGAGAATGACCTGAAGAGGTTAAACAAATGGTCAACTGGCAACAGAGACTAATAAGTAACTAGGTAGTAACCTTTCTAGTACCTAGCATGTCACAAGAATGGTCTCTTGGAAATTAAGCCATTAGGCTGCAACATTTCTTTTGCTCTTTCCTTGCAATTTTCAGATTTCAAGATTCTTTACTTTATCCTACTAACGATAAAGGTTTTTTTTTTTCTGGAAACCCAAGCTGTTGTTTTCAGAGTTTGCCTATTTGCAGGGCTTGACATTAATCTTGAAAGCCCACTAAAACAATTCCTCGGTTCAATTTACAGCTAGCATAATTAAGGTGGATTTACACTGTGTCACTATCTCATGTTCCCCCATTCTAGCCCCTCTTCTGGTTTGAGAAGCATCCATCACACGATACTTCTGTGGGACAGCAGTTACATAAGACAATGCAGTCAAATTGTGGCTCTTCTGTTATTCTCCATCAATATCAGAAACCAGCCAGAAGATTCAAGCTGACTTCCATCATGTTTGGGCTTAATAAGCAGATCATATAAAACAACTTAAGCCAAATGTTTGTAACTGCAGATGTAGTCTTTTCTCATCACGGCTCTTGCAACTGGACATCAAGTTTTAGAAACAGGCTCTACTACCCTGAGTTTCACACTTGGTAGTAAGCTTTCTCTGTAGCTCAGACAAGACTTCTGGGATCCAAACCCTCTTTAATGAGGACATAATATATGTACACTATACAGAGTTAGTGAGCGCAACAACAAATACATTAAAAAAGATCTACTCTTATATACATTATTTATAAAAAGCAAATTGACCAGCCACCACCCCAATACAAAAATACATGTTTCTTATTATGTGCATTACAGTTATTAATCCCTAGAAATAATTATTGATTGACTAAAAAATTAGTTTAAACAACAATCCAACCATAAAATTCAGAGGATACAATATATAAATGAATGAGGCTTTTTTTTAAAAAAATGATTTTTGTAAGGTGGGGAAGAAAGTTGAAGATGATAAAAGTAAAATATGACTGAGATTAAGCTAAATGACTTCAACTCCACATACAGTCTGGATGAATATGGGGGTTAGTTTTTGTTCTTCTCTTCAGACCACCTTCTTAAGAGAGTCACTTAGAAATAAATTTCAGCTATTTGAAGGAAATATATTTGTTTAGGATCACAGATGTGATTCACCAACTTTTTTTTTTGTTATTGTTGTTACATAGAAATAATGCAGAAGAGGTTTAGTGTTTAGCGCAGGTCTTGCTGCACCAACTTCAGTGTGGAAATAAATACTCCACTATTCAAATGTCACTAAAGAATAACTGGATTTTGGGAATTTGCTAACGCGAGAGCAGGAGCAGGGAAGAACTGTTGTCCATGTCCTCCAGCTAGACTTAGACCAGGATTTCAGAGTGAAAATAGCTTGTTCCTGATGCAACAGTTTGCAATGTGTCCCATTTTGGAAGGTTTTTGTGTATGAATCAGTCTTTGAGACAATTCAAAGAATAAAGTTACTAGCTTTTCAAGGTGCAAATTATTGGAAGCTGCAAGAATCACAAGCCACGGCAGAGGGCAGTAAAGCTTCAACTAGTGCCTTTTATATACTGTGACACTAGAATTGACAAGCCACTTCAATGTGTCACATTAACTGAGTGAATGCTACATTCCAACATAGTTCTGTGACACTATAATTATCCCCCACCCTGCAATTCTGCTCCAGTTACTCCAGGAATGCCAGAAACATTATTGCTGAAAGTGCGCAGAAAGTGAATGTGCATAGAAAGTGAGGGATTTTGGTACTGTACCCCATACAGGGCCTACATGAAGTGCTGTTGTGCATAGCTAATAGCAGAAGAAAGCTACAGTCCTTTCACTGCCTAAGTGTTCTAACACAAGAGGTCCAGTGTTTTCCATCTCAGGCATTCCTGCAGGCACCTTATTTCAGTCTGAGATTGTACTCCCAGAAACACAGCTATCTGGTTAACTTTAGCTGAATATCCAAACATCCGACATGGAATGGAAAGCTAAGGCCACCTGTTCCGAGATGCCTATTCCATCATTGTGGTACCTGTATAAGCACAATTCTCCATGAATTTGTACACTACAGGAGAGCATATACTTTTGGAAAATACGATGCAGGAATGCTAAGTTTCTTGATCCAATACAGATCAATATTGGGAGGAAAAGTGCTGCTACTTACTAAGTTCTGAAATGTTCTGCATGGTGCAATTGGGTTTGTACAACACAAAAAAGCATGTTTTTATAATCCAGGGCAGAAAGTGCATCTTTAAAATCTCGACCAGAGTTTGACTTGAAGTGCCATCTATAAGGCAACAGGGAAGAAATGTATTCCATTTCATTTGCTTAGTATTGTTAATGAGTAGTTCATTGCTTCCTATAAAACCAGAGGAGCTACTCTTGTCTGATGAATGTTGAAAGGTATGAAAAATGTTCTTCAGGATTATGACAGAAGAGTAGGACAATTTTGCAAAAATCATTATCGCTTCTTGTTGCATAATAAGGATTATATATTAGGGCTAAGTACTAAACATAATATACATTCAGACTAGAGATGACTGTTTATACCTGGGAACCATCAGAGTACCCCTAAAGCTTCAAAATATTTTCACAAGTTACCGATGCAGCACTACAACTAGCCTCGTGATCTTCCTTCAAATCTTCTCAGAAAGAACCTATTGCATTTGTGTTTCCCTGTTGCAAAGACTAGGCTCTAAGTACAATGTAAAACAGGTATTAATAACAGGGAGGAAAAATGGAATTTTCCAGTCTTGGAATGTTATATCAGTTTTGATTACTATGTTTTTCATTAAAGTCTTCCACAATTTGAACACTCTAAAGTCATCTTAGCTTCATAAAATCCTGCTTGCCGTATGTCATCCATTATTCAGATGACATATACTTTTCTGTTCAAGGCCTTATAATTTCATGTTTTAAATCATGGATGAATCCTGAAAGCTAGTCTTCCCACGTATGATGTCAACTAAAAGTTTTAGTATTGCAACTCCCAGAATTCCCCAGCCAGCATGGTTCATTTGTGTAGCATCAAGTGATGAATAATTTTTTTAACATGTCCAATTAACATAGAATCTTAAAACTGTGATTATTGTTTCCCAGCGGAACAAACAGACAGAAAGTAGGCTTTGAAGACATGAACAATAGGACCATCTCCAATCCAAACTAAAGCTCAGTTCCATATAAGAAGAGAGAGCTACGTTGACCAATTTCCAGTGCCATCATCTCTTCTCTGCTTCAAATACCTCAGAATAATTCAGAACATGTAAATGGATCCTTGGAAACCAGTGCAAATCTTCACCCCATCACAACTGGTAGTTCGAAAGGCCTGTAGTTTGCCAATATGCCCCCATTAACCTGTCTCCTACTCTAAGACCTGCAGCTACCTAAAAAGCGGCAAGGAATTCATTGTAAAGGGCAGACAAGGAAACTGAACCAGTGTAAGGGAGAGAAAAAAGTCAGGCCTACCAAGTGACATTTGAGGAGAATTAACGATCTGTAGTTAGAGCTGGGATTGTGACCAATATTTTTTTTAAAAAAGGAAATAATATTATTTCTTTCTTAAACCCCTTTGAGTTTTAAAAAGCCTTAGCTTTTCATTCTGTAGCCTCAGTGTAATATTCATATAATATAAAGCTTGGCCCAAGTCAACCATTCAGTAGTGAGTGTCAAGTGAGAGCCCTACATCCAAGTTATTTAGCACAGTTGCTCCATTTTCTTCTGGTCCTGCTGACTTTTGAGTCCCCTCAATGTGGGCCAGCTGGACTGGACATATAGAACTGAAGATATACTGTGTATCATAGTAGCTTCCCCTCCCTTTCCCTTGAAGTGGGCTTATTTTTCCAGTTTATGTGCTCATTTAGACTTCTGTTAGCCTAGCCGATCCCAGACTTTGAGAGAAAATCAAATGCCCAGAGAGAAAGTAAGAGATTGGCTTCTGGTCTAGTCCGGCCTGCAGCACCTCTGGCTGTGTGAGTGTGAGGAATAGCACCCGTGGCTCAGAATGTAGCCAGGGATTAAAGAATGATACGGTACTAACACAGGGCAGGGGCAGGAAATGGATCCAAGCCAGTTGAGTCTCCCAAGGCTTCGTTGTGCATCACGGGGCTCCAAACGTTGCCTAGTGGCTGCCTCCACTCTTTAGGCCACCTGACATCCAGTCGATGATGATGAAGCTGAGGCTCATGATCATGAAGAGCACCCCGAGGCACGCAAAGAGGGATGCCTGCAGGGAGAAGAGACAGGAGGGAAGGAGAGTGTCACTCGCAGAAAGGAACCCCCAAATGGTGGAAGCAGAAGCGTATGAATGCGGGTCTCTTTCCTCTCCCAACAACTGGAGCAAGGAGAGTAATCTGGACACCCAAAGTCCAGACCTGGCTTTAATTTGTGCCAGTTGTTGTGCAACAAAATCGGGTTGGCAACTGATTCATAACAGGGAATGCTCCTACAGCTGTATATTGCTATACTTCACATAAGTTACTTCCCCCACCTCTCCAAAAATGAATCATGCAACCTTTATGGCTCAGCAGCATTGCAGCGAGGAAGCAAAGACTCATGCCTTTCTTGAAAATGGTGGTACTGCTCCAGATCTGCTCTCTTCTTAATAGTTATTTTTGAATAAAGAAATATTGCACATCCCCATATGGCACAAGTGATGATGGCATTGATATTTATGATGATAATTTATAAACCATGCCATCAGTTTGAAATCCAAAAAACTATCATAGCTTCCATAAATAACATGCAGGGCATATTCTCCTTGCCCCCTGCCCCCCAAAATACTGTCTAAGTTTCACTCTCAAGTAGATTCTCTAAAGCAGAAGAGCCTTTTTCTCATCCAGTAACCCATCCCTTGGGACTCTTCATGAATAACTGAAGTAGCCAAGTTGGACTGTTAGAGATTACATACCAGGATCTTGGGAAGGGATTTCATAGGTTCCTTGTCTTTGGGCATGATCCGGATGTAGAATATTGCTGGAAAGATGAATATCAGGCAAGGAGCTGAGGTGGCACCTGGGAGAGTCCAAGAGAGAACAGGTTTAGGATCTTCAGAAAATGAAACACTCTGGGCTTCACTTTTGTTCACTAATATATATTCTGGGAAAACAAGACAAGCTCTGACAACGGGACCTCTGGCCTTGCCCCTCATCTCTGGCAGAGTCCAGACCAACTACTGATTTCCCTTCTATGATAGTGTTTGAGTTTACAATCAACAGGGAAAAAAAGCAACTGATGAGCTGCTAGGAGCAAAGACAACAAAGAAGAGCCCTTTGGAATTACACGGCAAACAAAGAGGTTTAATAAGATGTCCTTGATCCTGGAAAAACAGAACAGTGAGGCACCAACTCGAGGAGTCCCATGGACGTTCTCAAAGGAGTATGGAATAATTATTGTCCTAATGCAATTTCTATTATTAGGAGCTTGTTTATTTAGGGAAGAACTTTGACTCTCCCTTGTGTATTAGAAATACTTTTCAGAAACATTTTTCAAAATAGAAATGAAGAATCCATGTTATGGTAATAGTTTGACACAGTAACTTTCTTATATATATATATATATATATATCCTTCCTTCCTTTTCTTTTTTTCCTGTCACTCTCTTTCTCACTTTCTTTTGCTTTTTGCATTTCTTTTCTTTTTTCTTTTTGATATTAGTTTGTATTATCTTTTAGCATTGTTAAAATCCTTAATAAAAAGTATCTGTTTTTTTTTAAAAAAAAAAGATTCCTGGAATGCAATACTTACCAATTAAGCCAAAGATTCCCAAGATGGAGGGAGCAAAAATAACAAGCAAATTAATAGATGTCAGCAGCAGAAAAGCAATGATAATGTGCCGAATCCAGCTGAAATCCTTCTCTGGAAAAAGCATCTGCTGGATTGCACGGCGTACCTGAAGAAAGACAAAGCAGTCAGATTCACTTTTTAGAAACATGGCAGAGTTCTTCACTTCACATATTTTAGGTCTGTCTTGACTCCTGTATCACTTTATCACAGCTACTTGAATTTATCCTTTTGCCCAATTGAATAGACTTCTGATCTAATGGCTTACTTTTTTTTACTTCAGTTCCCATTTCTAATTTGGTGGGCTCTGACAGCTATGACTATAACTCCTCCTTTATCGTCTACTAGAGCTTACATCTTGTATACTATTCTCCCCTGCTTCTATTTATTGCAGCGGTGCTATAGTTTTGAACAACAGGGGAACCTTGGTACTCAACGGCTTTGAAACTCATTGAATTCGGTACTCAACACATTTTGATGTGAACATTTTGTCCTTTGTCCTTATTGTTTGTTTGGTACTCAACGCACAAGCTATAACTTGTCAGTGTTGGCTGCCTTGTGACTCACTACGTTATTCCTTATAGGAAAAAATGTGTTTGGTACTCATTGTTTTTGGTACTCATTGCTCCTCCTGGAACCAATTAAAATTAACCAAGGCACCACTGTAAACCACAATGACTTTATTGATTTACAATCTAGACCAGGGGTGACAAACTCGCGGCATCACGGTGGCATCACCGGGACTTTTTCATCCTTTGCTAATTCAGACTTGGGTGTGGCCAGCGCATGACGCATCTGGCCCACAGGCCATGAGTTTGACAGCCTTGGCCTAGGCTGTCTTGATTTTTATTCCTATTTCAGTTACAAGAAGTCATGCAAGATAGAAATTAGATTTTAGATCGAGATTCCAATTTAAAAAACACATAGACACACACAACACAAAATCACATTTAGTCTCCTTCTGTCAGTTTTCTGACAGCAGAACTCACCGGAAAGAGAACAATGGGCACTGTTAGTGTCACAGCAATCAACACAGCTACTCGTACACACAAGATCAGCACATCAAGTGAGTCTACTCTGCTGTAGGTGTGAAGCAGCTCGGATTCTACCTGCCCTGTATAGGAGACAGCCAAGAACAGAATAGCAGCACTGATCAGGCTAAATATATAGCAAGTACTGTCTTTGCACAACACTCCCAAAATGTTTTTTTTATATATATAATTGAAGACTGTAGAGGTGTTTGTTGTTTCTAGAGGCTGCAATCATATGGCTGGTGGCATGGGCAACTTTGTAAAATACTAATTACAGTTTTCTCAAATGAACATGTAAGTAATTATATTGCACAACAAGGGAAACTTGATGTACTATTATGTCTTTGTACAGGATACAATGCAAGGATTCAGCATTCTTCTTTGGAGGTTCTCTAATGAAATGCATGAAACAGGCCAGTCCAAAGCATAGCTGAGAACACAAGCTTTGCAAAATGTGAAAGGATCACTACTTTATGGTGCTTTATAGTTCATTAGTGAATTGAGCATCCAAAGAACATATATATAATAGCCTGCAACTACATTCCAATGGTTAAGTCCTCGAGGGAATAAGACTGTAGCTTTAAAAAGGCAGTACTTTCTGCCCTCAGTACCTGCCTTTCTTCCATTTAATTAGAAAGCACAGAACACGGGATACATTGCAAACTTTCTGTTGGCTTGAAGGCTACCCAAGTCTTTGTAAGGTATGTTGATCGAATATTCCAAAATTGGCAAGAGAGGGATTTAAGAGATCAAATGGATGCCTAAAATCTCTACAAGGTTTAATATATATATCTTCACAACTCTCCTCCCTCCAAAATTTAAAAAGATCCAAATTCTGGGAGTCACAAAAGGGATACTGATGGGCTGAATGTGGTCCTCGGGACATACATGAACTCCTAGGGCAATAGAAAGGAACTTACCATAAAATGTGAGATAACCAAATAGGGCAGCCAGGAAGTACATAACATACATGACTGTGATGGAAATGTTGGAGATACACTGCATCTTCTTCTTAGTTGGGCTAAAAGACACACAAAAGTGCAATAAGCTCTTACCTTGCTATTATTTAAAAATACAAATGCTCAATGAAACTCAATTTTGTATCTAAAAAAAAAACTCTGAACCTTCACCCTGTTAGATAATATTACATGACAAGTCAAGGAGTTTAGATGGCATATATCTCACCAGTCTATTATGGAAGAGGGAGCAACATTTGATGAAAATCCAGAGAAACACTAAATGGTTTTTAAATTAAAATGAATTTCAGTTGCACAATCCATGCTATGAAATTGTAGTGGAAAACGATAGCACTGATTCTCAGAAGTGCAATTCTAACAGACCACAAAATACAAGTTCCCCTCTTGACTAATCAAGTCTCTTATGCATTTTTGAACAGATATTTGTCCACCTGCCTACTGAGAATCAACGTTCTGGGATGGCAGAAAAGATACATTTGCTCAACAGAACCAGCCAGTTTGGCCTTTTGGACTTAGAACTGCACGTCTTTCCTATGACATGGAAGGATGCTGTCCAGAATTTGCTAAAGGCAATGTACAGTAAATGTGCGCATGCATGAGAAAGAAAAAGAACAAATGTCTTAAAACATCATCTTTATATTCATCCTCTAAATTCAGTAGTCCGATGCCTACGCTATTTCTTCACTCGCAACACTACTTCAGTGATCTCAGCAGTGAAGTATTATTAACATATATACATACTTACTTTTTCAACTCAGTGTAGATAGGAAGGACTTCAGGATGACACACAAAAGCAAATGCCATGATAGGGATGGTGTAGGCTGTCTGCAAAGTTAAAAGAGTAAAGAGATGTTGGGGAAATGTCAGAGAAGCTTCTGCCTGCAAGAGTGATGTTGTTTTAAGCTCTCAACTATACTTATGCAAAGAGATTGCACACCCCCAAAAAGTGTTAACAAAGATTCGCAGGGAATTAAAAAAGTGGAGACAAATTCTTATACAATTGTGATTCCCAGAAACTCAGGGGCCTGAACCCCAATCTAGGTGTGCTATTGTGGCCATTCTTCCATTCACTTCATCAGACATCAGTAACCACTAAAGCAGGGGGCTCCAACCCCCAGGCTGCAACCCACTATCGGGCTACGGGCCATTCAGAACCAAGGCACAGATGCAGTAGGCAAGCACAGATGTGCACATAGCTCCACTTGTGCAGAGGGTGCACGTGCTGCTGCTTGCGCAAATGGAGCTGCACGCACATGTGTGTTCGCCCACTACTCGGAACCAATCTCTCTCCCACCCCCATCACCGGTCCACAAAGCCAGAAAGTTTGGAGACCACTGCACTAAAGGATGGTTATGCCACTTCAGTCGTGAGCTATTTCCAGGTCTCCCTTTGAGTCTTTAGCTATTTTATATTTTATCTCTTTCCTTCCTCGCTGTTACCTTGCTTTTTGGCTATATGGTTTTTATCCTCAAAATGGTTTCTCTACTTTTGTAAGTTTCCCCTTTGCTTTCCTCTTTTTTTTTAATTCTTCTTTTTTTTTTACTCTTTCATTAACAATCACATTTACATTTATTCCTTTTTCTACCTATCTATTAATTTCTTTCTCCTTTTGCCACTCCTGCTCCATAGTTTAGATCAACATAACCTCCCACCGTCCCAGTTAGCATGGTCATCTGGAGAATCTCCGACTGGAGAAGATTGGTTTAAATTATTTGTATCATTTTGCCTCTAGAACAACCATTAACATTTAATAATAAAATACCAGAAATATAGTAAACATCTGATACAATTAACAGGGCCTGATAATTATTCTCTAACTTAGACACTTCCTGGCCAAACCTCCTACCCACAATCAGCATTACCATGGCTGAAAATTCACACATTTCGATGGCACCTAAGTTGGAGAACGATATACATTATTAATTACTGCTGGTATCATCATGAATCCACTCATCTGACCTGAGACTTGAGTGTGAACAAACTTGGAGAGCAAATGTCTTCCTCTATGGCCTGCACAGTAGTGTGTTCATTTTGATAGCTGCTTGTGCTAATCAAGGTATAATTCAGGTCCCCTGTGTTGTTGCTGATCCGCTCAGGAAGTGGACAAGCAATCTGGAACTTTTTGTAAATGACCTGAGGAGGAAATAAAACCCTGTAAGTTCTCATCTGAGGAGGAAATAAAATCTCATAGGTTTTCATCAATACAAGGTTCTTCATTTGCTTGCTTCACATATTTTAATCATATTTTCATTGGGTGACCTCAACATTAGGCAAGAAATCAGCTATGTTGGATAGCTCTGAGTTATCTGAGGAAAGAATAGCTAACATTTGTGTACGAGTTTTTGATTGGGGGACTTAAGCATCAACGTACTTCATGGCATGGGATCAGTTTAACTGCAGAACTGCCTGTCTTCAATTATTTCTGTTTGTCCCATGAGATCTGGCTTAGCGCCATGCATTGGGTTCCTACTATGAAACAGTGTCTTCTGGTGGGACCCAGAAAGTCTGCCTTCTCTGTCGTAGCATCTGCCCTGTAAAACAAGATTTGCATGGCCCTGATCTGTTTGTTCTTCTGTAGAACCTGGTTCTTCCTCTGTGTTTTAGCCCAGAACATGGAAAGAACCCATACAGAACTAAAATTCTTGATTGAAATATGTGAGAATTGGTCTAGGTTAATTTTGTTCTTATTGTTATTTCTGTTATCCCATTGTCCTATTTTTCTTTTTATCCAGTTTTGAACATTTATTATACTGTATGTTATCCCAAATTTATTTCTGTGTTTTCAAGTTTCTGCAAATTGTAACTCACCATGAGTCACTCAGTAACTCAGTCTACTGCTATATAAAACAAACACAAGCCAACAAGTGTCCAAAGCCTTTGCCAGAATCTCTACTCCAACTGACTACATTGCTTTATTTTTAAAAAAAGATTAAAACAAATGAATAAGTGACAATATCGATTGCCATTGTTATAATTCCTCTCTCCAAGAATGTCTTTCATGCCTTTAGAAAATAAAAGGCGTGATTATTGGTCACAACTCAGTGCTTCATGTGGAAATATGCCTACCCTATCCAACAACCTCTTTTTTGGGAAGAGGAGAAGGAGGATCTCATCAATTTGTCATATGATAAACAGGCATTTTAAGACTGGCCATGTCCTTCTATGGAAAGGCAAGACGCTTGTTTTTTGAATGCATCCAAAGATGCTCTTAAAATATCAAAATCCTCCAAATAGTGTCCAAACCAATCCATGGTAGGAAGATGACAGGCACTAGGTAGGATTGTATTCAGTTTACATTATTATTAATATAAAAAGTGAGCATATTTCTGATTGGTTGAATGGAGATGGAATAGAACTAGAAATGATGTCTATGGAGATTCTCAATCATCCAGGTCATGGCTGTCCCAAAGGTGATTTTCTAAAAGGCAACTGGATTTTCTTGGTTTTTTTCCTTGAAAACATTTCACTTCTCATCCAAATAGCTTCATGCTTTTCTAAAAGGCAACTGGACTTTTCTTGTTTTTGTCCTTGAAAACATTTTGCTTCAAGAAGAACCTGAAGAAGCTTCTTGGCCACTTCTCACAATTTTATTTAGCTATTCTGGGGATGCCTCCAGTAGGTCATGTCGGCCAGTCAGAGAGGTCCAATACAAAAGTGCACATATCAGAGTGATAATATGTTAATACTAGAAACATGATGCCTTCCTATCTTATGAATCCAAATCTCACATTCCCTTGTCACAGGTCTTACAGACTAGAGTTGAGAAGAGTTAAAAAGAAATCTGGAAAGGATCAATTTGCCTATTGCTGCTATAACTTTTAAGAATCCTGGGAACTACACTTTCCACTGAAGTAACCACATTTACACTCTCACATCTTTGTATTAGTAAAACGTAATAACCGAGTTCTAAACATCGTATGTACTTTCCTATTCTAATTCATATTTCTCAAAACTCGCGATCTTGAAACCCACTTTAAGATTTGAATGATTTGACTTTAATACAAAGATAGCAGCACAAATATACAGCCTAAGGTTGTAAGTTCTGGTAAATCTTATTATTTAAAAAAATTATACTGTGCTTTTCTTTATAAAATAAACTTAAAACAGGTTCAATGAAACACAACAAAACTACTCAAATTGCACTTTAAAAAAAAGTTGCTGAATTCATTCACTTTTATTAAAAAAAAACCAGGGTAAAATAATACAAATTAAAATCAGGGAGACAGAACATTAACCCATGCCAAACCCTACTGAGTAGCTTGCCTGAGGCATCAGGCAAAAAGTAAATTAAATGTCTCCAAATAGGAGACATCACAGTGGAACTTCATACCCTGCACCACCATGTAGCTTGTAAAACATGCTAAGCTTAGGCAGCATGACATGTCTCCAATGTGTATCATAAAAGAGATTTACTTATATAGCTTCCTAAAGACATTTTACCATAATGCCATCAGATTGCCACTTTTTAAAACAAGAAGTAAGTAGCACAAATGCTCCGGTGACAATAGCACTACTATTTTTGGCAAGAGATTACAGCTACGATTATTTATAGGACTGGAGTGTTAGGAGGGGGAAAAAAGCTAGCAAGCCCTTTGGGATCATCCTTATTATAATCTAGGGCAAAAATTACAATTTGATTAGTTATGAATATTTTCAGTGCAGCATTTCCTGTAGGAGCAACTAGCTGATTTAAGCTACTGACAAAAGAGAATATTTGTAGCTCTGGGTTGAAATAAAGTGTCCTTGGTGCTCTCTGAGCTGTATTGTTTTCTTCCTGGCATTTCATTACCTAAACTAGGCAACATCGTGATGTTTCCTCATTTGGGTAATGAAACATCTGCAAGAAAACAATCAAGCTCAGAGAGTACCAAGGACCCCTGATTTAAACTAAAACCACTTCTGACTTGAAAATGTACAATAGCTTAAAGAAGAGTAAAAAATACTCCTTTCTCCAAGATTAGTAGGGACTTTGAAATTGTACTTTATTAGTATGCATACTAACATCCCTATGAGGGATCTGGTGCTACTTCCTGTCTTCTCCTGTTGTCCCTCACAATGATACAAAGCTTCTTCTCCCAGGAATAGATCAGTGTTTCTGACAAGGGAGTGAGAATGTAGCGATGCAACTTGCAAAGGCTGGAGGCAAATTGCTTGCGAGCTATTTACTGGGACAGTCTGCACTTGAGAAAGTAGCCCTGTCCAATTTTAGCGATGTCAAGAAATATAAAATCCTCCTCCTTGGCCTGATGACCCAAAAGGAAAAAAAATTAGGACCAGATTCAGAATCAGATACGGTATATCTGGCTTGATGGAGAGAGAATCTAGCAGAAATAATTACATGCAAGTAAAGATGCTTTTATAGTGAATCAATACCCTGAAGTATCACTCCCTTAGAAGCTAGGATAAAACACCTCTCCTAAGAAACCTGTTTTAAAATTTGATTCCATTTATTTAATCTGGATCTTCTTCAAGATGCAATTGGCACCAAGCATACTTTTCCTTCTCTGACTCTCTCCTATATTATCTTTATGAGATCCTTGTAAAAGAGATTAGGCTGAGATGTACTAGAATTGTTGTGAAACAAAGAAATGAATAAACAAATATTAATAAATATTAATAAATATTTAATAAATATTATAAATATTTAAACAAATATTAAATAAATATTTTTTAAACTAGGAAAAAGGAAAGACCCCCAAATAAATCCTTGAAAATGTCCAACCATGAAATATTTTTCATTAGATTTTCAGGTAGTGTACCTCAGACAAGTCATGGTAACAGAGCTATCAAATTTCCTCAGTCTTTGTGTTAGCTACAGCTCTTGTGATCTCTAACCATAGGTTGAGGCTGATTAAAAGTTGTAATCCAAAACATCAACATTGTTGTATTGAAAAGACTTGCATTAAAGTTTCAATGGAGCCCTCAAGCTCAGAATAACTTTCTCTTTCTTAATCCAACCCTTCCCATCAAGTTGCTATGTGAATAAAAGACACAGGGAAATGTATTTGCCACTCTTAAAAGATGGGCAAGATAGAAATTACATGTACAGGTAATCCTTGCTTAACAATTACTCATTCAGCAACCATTACAGCTTATGATAGTGCTGAACTAGAGGTACTTATGACTGATCTCATAGTTGTGGCAGTGCCCCTGTATTCACATAATTGCAATCCAGATGCTCAGCAACCAAGTCACAATTATGATTTTGCAGCATCCCATGTTCATATGATCACCAAATGCAAACTTTGCCACCAGCTTTTGACAAAGTCAATAGAAAGCTGGCTGGAGGTCACCAATACTGACCATGTGACTTTATACTTAATGACAGCATAGGATTCACTTAATAACACAACCAGAAGAGCTGGAACTGCTGTTGCTAAGCAGCACAGTCATCTAAAGTTTGTTTTACAACCTTGCAATTCCTGTTGTTAAGTGAGAACTACCTATATTTTCTAATTAAAATTTCAATTTTTTGCTCATTTTTCTGCAAGTTGATCATGTTGAACTCAATGGATCAAACTTCTGAATAGACATGAACAGCTTTCTATCATAAATAAATCTTACACAGAGTTAAAACAAGATTTTATAACCCATCATCATTCAAACGCACCGAAATGAGGAAGAAGACCATGCAGCTGAGAGAAAACCCACTGGCATAACCAAGATAACCTGGAACAAGAAAAAACAAAATATTGCAAGGGATCTGTAATGTAATTTGTAGATTTCTCTGTTGTGCTAAATTTCTATCTCTTGTTCTTTCTCTGTCATTCTTTCATTATTATTGTCTATAAGCCAGTCTAGCTATTAGAAAGTTTTGAAGCACGTGTTCCTGAAAGTAAGGAAGAGTGCTTTGCGTTTTCCATTTTGCAAAGTCCAAGATTGTCCAGTTCTAAGTAATACTTTAATTCTCAGAAGTAGATGGCATGAAGAGGAGCATTTCACTGGATGTGGTATTAGGGGTAATTCTCATGCTTTTTAAAAACACTTGGCAAAACAAAAGCCCTTGTTTTCATATAGTCAGCAATATCTGTGCTGCTTTTCCTGCTAATTCCATCTTTCACCGCACAGTCTTTAAGGATGGGACAGTCAAAGTGTTTGTCATCCTCATCAATGAGAGTTAAGGAGCTTAAGTAAACCTTACCCAGTTGTTTCATAAGGGCCAGAGGAAGGATAATGGTGACACTGACCAGGATTACCAGGTAATTTCCATTCAGATACCAGTCCCTGAAATGACACAGTCAAAATTACATCATTTGTAGCCACTTGATCTCTGAGTACCATGAGGTATCTCTCCAAACTAAATGCAGCCAAAGCAAAAAAAGCGGACAGGTAGAACAGTTAATGCAATTAAATAATACTAATGCGTTAAACAGAACTAATATGTATGGATACACAGAATGTATCCTCACTGTCACATTAAAACACTTAACTTATGTAGGCTCTTGGTGTGTGTGTGTGTGTGTGTGTGTGTGTGTGTGTGTGTGAGATTCTTGGGGGTTACATGGTACCCTTCTATAGTAGGCTCTTTTCTAGAATCATACAACAGGATTAATCTCTCTGTGACTAGTAGACTATGGTTGCAAATACTATGCGACAGTAGTCTTCCTATATGGATCTAATCAGTCAGACTATTCTTTTAATTAGAACAAAATTACCAACATCAGCTCTTCAAATTTAGGCTGAGCTTTGCCAGCATAGCTTGAAGAAAAGGACTAAATCTTGAACCTTTAGGACACACTGTATGGAACCCAGCCACTGAATCATGACACTTCCTATATTTTGAGAGATTTCTGTTTATCTATCACCTATCTACCTATTTATCTATATCTATCCATCCATCCATTTCTCTCCCTCTCTCTTTCTCTCTCTTCCCATTTGTCTCTAACCCGAGCCCTTGAAACTGTAATCCAAATCTAAGGAAACCTTACCAAGTTTCCTTCCAAAGAGAGGTCTAAGGCAAGGCCTAGTCTAAAAGCACACAAGGAAAAGCTCTGTTTAGCATTTCAGTACCTCACATATTTCTCCATGAGGCTAAGGACAAAAAAAGGAAACATTATAAGCCAGGAAACCAGAAATTCTGCATGACTCATGTAATATTTAAAGACAGATACATCTGGATATGTACAGGCTTAATTTTCATAATCCAACAAAGAGCACTATTTTTGGAAGGGAATTTTATATTAACTATTTTATTTTATGGGAGAAGCTTTGGGATTAAAAAGAGTGGGTGTGGAAGCTCATAAACAAATGAAAGGCATTTCAAGCAAGCAGAGATAAATATTTAAGAGGTAGGAGAGGGGGACTGGTTATAAGAATTTCAGAGTATAAAAAAATCCTTGCCCTGTATCAGGAAACTCCAAAGTCTCCTGAAAATAAGCCCTGGGTCTTTAGTCTTGAATGGCACTGTAAGATGCAGTTTAGAAGGCAGAACTGTGGCTCCTTTGGTCTTGGGCCATACAAAGGCTTCTCATAACAAAAAGCAGTCCAAGAGGAACCATGGCAGGCTCTAAAAGGATGCTGATCTTGTCCCCAGTTTACTCTTACAACCTGTTCAGGTTGAGTTCCAGAAACTGATCATATATAGACCTCAAAAGGTGAATCACCACCTATTTTACCCATCTTGTTTCCTTAGAAGCTAAACTCTTGACCTTCTTCCATTCTAAAAGTCCTAGTTTGATCTTTAGCCTGCTTTTAGGATTGGCTGTAATTAAAGGTCACCCGGCACAATTCTTCTCCAAGTACATGCCGATATCTCTGCTGAGCTTGTGATATTCAGCTCTGTAACTAGGGACAGTCCAAATCCAGCTAAAGATACACCTGTTTTAGAATGATACCCCTTGCCCCTCATGCAATAGTGCTCTTAAAATACCAATGTTTTCAGAGTTGTTGGGTACACACACTGTGCATTACAATAACTGAGCACACATGTTGCACTACCTCATAAATCACAATCCAATCCCACAATAGCTGGAGTCATACCACAGTCTAAGCCAAAACCAAGCCAAAACCGTATCACTGTTTAGGGCAATACAAGAACCTTGTCACCATTTTCAAGTTTCTTCTTTGTAGACAACATGTGCTCTGCTCCTTTAAATAAGATTTTCCAAGGATAATGAAATATTCTATTCTGCTGTCATGCTGGCCACGTACGTTTTCAGAGTGGCCCAGTCTTGGGACCAATGCCAGACAAACAGACCGCTGATAACACAAAATGTCTTGGATGTATCTCACACTGAAGAAAAGAAGCAAACATGATGGTGGCTTTGCCCTTGTCATGTCTCAGAAGGCCTAAAGAGGAGTGATACATTTTCGGGTCTCAGATGGCAACTCATATATCCAAGGGAGAGGATCTCTCGCTGCCTACTGCTATACTAATTTCCCCGGCTAACCCTTCCACCAGGAGGAAACATTTCCTTGGGTTTGCTAGGGGTGGTAGAAGGCATGCTGAAGCCCAGCCAGCCCATGAGCAGAAACACAGATCTGACTAATACATCCAGGGCAGAAGGAAGTGGAGCATCACGCGTGGATTGGAAGTTCACTTTGGTTTAATCCTGTGCAGAGGGTTTATACAACGTTGGCGTCAATCAAAAATAGTAGTGGCTTAATGCTGTGAAATCCCTGTAACAGATTGTCCAGAGGAGATAAATCTCTGTACTACTAAAGAGATGTTAAATGGAGCTGAACCACAAGGAAGGAGAAGGTGGGGAAAGCAGAGAGCTCGTGAATAAAGACGAGAGAGAGAGAAAAAAAAAGAATATTTGAGAGGCAAGAAGGGAGGAAACGCACCCAAATGTACCATATGATTCAGGTATTTCTGCAGTGGCATTTCTCCCCACACTCCATTTCTCTATGGGGCCTGGACTAACAATCCAAAAGTAGTTTTGTAATGAACCAGCCTGTCCTTTTTGCTTTGCTGCTTCCCTCTGGCTGGCCACCCAGTTTACAGCTATCACCTTGTCTCCACTGACCATGCAAAAGACTAAGAGCTGGGGATCAGGATCAGATAATAAACGTAATTGGCACCCACCCTGGAGACAATCTGCACTTAAATTGGAGAGACATAAACAAAATAGGCAGAGCAGGGATATTAAAAAAAAATTCTCCCTCATGTAACTGACGGGACAGAAATAAATGACAGGACAGAAATAAATGAAATTCATGCAACAACAAGCCACAGTGTGTGTGTTTGTTCAAAGCTTAATATATACGAATTCAGCCAATTGTATTTTTTTTTTTCAGTGCACTATAGCCAAGCACACCATGCATTGCTGACATCACGCCCTCCTTAGGCAGAACAATGTGAATATGGCATATAAAGAACACGTAGAAAAGTAAGAGACAAATAGAAGACCCAGATGGGGATACTTACGTTGTTTTCTCTTCCAGGGCGAGGAAGGTCTGGATGACCAGAGGGAGTTCAGACTTCACAATGTATAAGTAGCTTGACATTGCTGAAGAAAGAGACAGAAGTTACCAGAGGACAGAGGCCGCATAAGATCCAGAGGGAAAGTTATTTAGGAATGTATTTTTGCCTGCATGATTCTTTCTTCTACATTGTTTTCTAGGAAATCTAGGTAAAAAGGCTTTTAGAATATTTGAAAGGATGATGTGAACATGAGCAGTTTCTTCTTACCTCCAATGTTTTGTAGTGTTATAGCAATGGCAGCTGCCAATTTCCCTGGTGTCCCAAAGGCTCTGTAACCCAATTGCTCATAGGCTCGGATTCCTACGTGATACCAAAAAATTAACAAAAGAAAAATGGCATATGAATGGACCCACACCATTTCAGTGACATAATGAACCATGTTTTGGACTGGGCCCTTGGCTCATAACAAAAGTAATTGGAATAAAAACAGCAGCCGTTCCTGCATACATGGCAAGCACTGCAAATTGCATTTCTAAAATAAACCATACAAAATTGACAGAGATTTATCTTAATCGCTATCTTGATTGGTTTTTATTATAGTGAAAATTTCTTCTCCACTGCTTAAGTGGAGAAACAATTAAGGCGTTTAGCAAAAGTACTGCTGGAGACTAAATGTAACCTTTGGGATGAGATTAAGAGAAACCACCAGCTAAGTCAGATTTAAGGAAGTTGAACCAGCTCTACTATTAAAGCAATTATATCCTAACAATCTCCTTTTGTTTAATTTTAATTAATTTATTAATTTTTTATGCCACCCATCTCCCCTACAATGTGACTCTGGGCAGTTTGTTCCCTAGCTTTGGGAATAGACTTACCAGATCACAGCATGTAGACCAGGGTTGTCCAACCTTGGCAACTTTAAGACTTGTGGACTTCAACTCCCAGAATTCCTCAGCCTGGGAATTGAAGTCCACAAGTCTTAAAGTTGCCAAGGTTGGACACCCCTGATGTAGACATACAACTGGTTGAAGATAGAAAAGACACTCAGATTTGAGTTTGCTAAGAGGGCATCAATGCAATTGTCCACAGTTCTACTTATTTATTTAGCAGTTATTCCATCTTTTGTCCATCATGGAATTCAAGACAGAGTAAATGGAGTCTCAGTTGATCTTCTAGCTGAGTACTTTAATTTAGTCACAGCCAGATGCCATATCATATAGCACAGGACTGGCTGAACTGAATCCCCTGTGTGTTTCTCAGCAGGTTTATCACACTTACCAACAATCCCTGATGATTTAAGCAGCAAATGTATAGAATAGCTGGACAAGAGAGCTACAGTAGTCAAGAGGAATCTAGGGGGAAAAAAGAAGATATTTATATGATTAAAGAACTGGGATAATATTGGACAAAAAAAATTCAAGAAGGTATCTCAACTTCTTTTATAGCATAGTGGACAAATCCAAAAGGAGAGGGTGTGGTCTTCTAACAATTTTCTGAAGCCAGAACCAGAGCATATCTCAATTACTTTGTCTTTTTTGTGAAATAATTCCCAAATTTTATCTAATTCCAAAACCAATCTCTAATTTCTGAACAGGGTATCTGGAGCTTTTAAATAAGATATCACAGAAGGGAAGTACTCTATCAGTGATCATATATGAAGTACCCAGGTGGCTTTCTTCAAATTCAAACTCCTGTCCTGGATTTATAACTATGTTGGACTACAACTCCACAATCCATAACCACCCTAATCAATTCCAATGTCATTAGAGTTCCATACATTTGCATTACATGAGGCTGGAGAAGGCTCAAGAGTAAAACCGAAAGGAAACAAAATGTACGGTACTTATTTCTACGATCAACAAATGGTGCAATTCTTTAAACAGAAACCCAAAGGTTAAGAAACAAATGCACACTTACTGCCCAGAAATATGATTTAGTATAGCCTTACCATCTGATTACTTTATTTACTCCATCCTACTTGATAAATTCACAGATAAATTCACAAAGGCAGGGCATGGAGAGGAAGGTACAGTTTCCTAAGAGCATTAACTTAATATGGGAATTATTATGTACTGGCTCCCCTGAAGATGTGCATACAAAGCAGGAACAGTGGTATATTTTGAACTGTCTTAATACAAGTGTGTTATGTAACCCTTTAATTTGTAAAAGGTGAATTAAGTCTACCCAGAGGATAATATATTGGGATGGAAGCCAGGAAGAATACAGGGCAAAACCCACACCCATGCACGCATGCACACTCAAACAGCTGGAAAGTAATTCTCTCCCAGCATTAGTTATCTTACATCTGGATAGAGATTTTGTTCATTCAAGACTGAACTATTGTTTCAATCATTGAATTCATCACTTCAAGAGCTACCTCTCAACTAATTATTTACCTCCACAAATAAATGACATCCCAATAACTGGAGTCTAGTTAAGTACACGTTGCCATTATCAAAAAGAGAAAAAAAATAAGAAGAGCTCCAGAAGATAACGCCCCTATGCTAGATTCAGATTCTATAGTATAATCACATGATGGGAATATTAAATGACCATATTGAAAGAAGCAAGGCTGTTTTGAAAACTTGACAATGAACTTTGAAATTTTTTATGGGTATTAATTTTTCCAATATCCTGTTTCACATCCTTCCTCCCTAGCCAGCATATTGCTATCACCACACATAGAGATGAAAGGAAGCGAATTGTTGCCCAAAGAGGCAGACAAAGAAAAATGCATTTATGACAATATATTGTATATTGCTAAATATTCACTAGATCAGATCTAAAACAGCAGGATTTTCATTCAAATTTGAAAGTAATTAGAAACACAGTGAAAGAAAAAGCAATGTTGCTGCCATGGCTACTTCTTGATATGCCCTTAACTTTGTATGAGTCGTCCCCATCCTGGCATGAAGTAGGCTAGAAATGATGGGTACGATTACTCAATATATCTACAATTAATTCTTCCAATTATAGTGTAAATTTAAAAAGAGTCTTGCTCTAAAGCAGAAGTGTCCAAAGGTGGAGGTCAGAAAAGTCAAGGTGGCAACCACATCCATGAAATGAAGGGCCCACCCTTTTGTTATAGGCTTGGGTTACACCGTCATAGGAACCATCTAGATATTTTTGATGCCTCCGGCCCAATACTCCGAATATAAAACATACTGGCTGGAAGTACTTCAAACTAAACAATCTGATTAGGTATGGAGGGAACCCCACCTGCCCCTCTTTCAAAGTCCATTTTTCCAACCCAATTTTATAAGGAGGAGGGGCCAGCACAGGGATGCCTATTAACACCTGTCCCTTCACAGTTTCCCAAGTGCTTCTTCTGAATCTCAGCCATGATGAACTACAGCTGGTTTTATTTTTGTCTTTTAACTAGGGATTTAGTCTAATTTATTTGCATTTCTAAAAACCTTGGCATAAAGAGCTCCAGAGAATGTCCACAAACTTCTGCATGAGCCACAAATCCAGACTGGACAGAAATGACACATAATTGCCATCTCTTGACTAAAATGGCTCCTGGAGTTTTCTATCCTTGGGCCTTTAGTGTTATTGGAGTATAATGTCTAATACCCCAGTTATCGCTGCTGATGGTCAACGTGATGAGAACTAGAGTAGTACAAGAAGATTCACGATCCCAAGTTTGAATTGCTACAAGGCAAACAGTTGTAATTTCAGCCCCCACTGAAATGGCAGAGCCTTCCTTCCAGAAACTGGCATGTTACAAAGGCAGAGAAAAGTGTTTCTGGATCAGTTTTTCTTTCCGTGAATCTCTGTCTCAGCCAGTCCATGTACAATAGTTGAGAAGCTATTGGACCTACTAAGCCTTGATGGCTTGGAAGAGGGGTAAGCAACTTTTGGTATGAAAAGTCACATTCCCCTATGAAATGTAACTCTGCACAGGAATATTAAATTCTTGCATTTCTTCATGAGTTGCCTATAGAAAGGTTAGAAGTGGGACAGCTGCAGGCTGAGCAATCTGCGTGACAGGGTTCACAGTATGGTCCTCTTGTGGGCCACCAAGTGAGAACATAGGAGATTTCCAGACAAATACACCCCAGGGATGTTTTAAAGAAAGGATAGTCAACTCTATGGGATGCTCACAGTCCAAAATTATGATCAGCTACTAAAATTAGTAGGATTCCCTGAAGGACAGGGAATGAAAATGTCTGTTCTCCAGAAGAAGGCCTTCTAGAAAAACTGGGGGCTTCATCGTTTTTTGCTTTGAGAGTGACATGAAACTTTCCTGGTGAAAGAAATGTGGCTTGGCAGATTGAGGACAGGCATGCCAGCACTATCCCTAGCTGAACTTTGTGGCTGAACGCAACCAAAGAACAAAAGCAAGCTCTCTGCAGGGTAGCTGCGTGATGCTGAATTGCTTCCCAGAACCTGGGAGGGCTTGAGAGCCCATGTTTTGCTCTTCCCAACCAGAATCTCAAACCAAATGAGAAATCAGCCCCAGGGAGCCTCGGAAGCCGAGAGCGGATCGCTTCACTGAAAGCATTTCACTCCTCCCAACATGCAGTCATTCTCATCCCTGTCAAGATGCAAATAATACAGATGTCTACAGGGTGCAGACAAATGGAAGAACAGGAAGTCTTGGGGGAGCGGGGGAAGCATGCATGAAGCATTAATAAATCCAGGGCTCTGAGCTGGATCGAGTAGTGGATGGTTCAGAGAGTAGATTTAAGATGGAAGAGGGTGATGCAACAGCTCTGCACACAGACCCTGGTGCTGACCCCAGACGTTTTGGCCTGCACTTTGGTTTGCATGGTCAACAAGAATGGTTACAACCCAGGTTAAAATTACTGTAGAGAAAGGAATTGATACAAGCAAGAAGAAATCCATTGAGGCTGGTGACTCTTAATGCTGCGCCCCCAAAACAGAAGGACGAGCTTTATATTTACATAGAAAGAGATAGCTGAGTTGATTAGGAGCTGGCCCTGTCCTCCATCCCATTAACTGCTCAGGGTGAAATAGCAACTCTGTGTCTCTACTTCATTCACATGCCAGAGATAAATGACTAGCAGAGGCAAAGCAAAGTAGGTAGCTGTATTACTTTTGGCTACCTTGCAGTTCGGGAAGGATTCTTATCTTTCTGCAGGGATTCTATGAAGTAACAGAAGTAGAACCCATCCATACAGTATATCAAGATGGGAGTCATTCCTCAAATATCTTTTGCAATGATCACCCTCCCCGCACTGTTCTTTTCTGCCTCCCGTTCACACAGGCACCTTCTTGTTCCTTCCCATCCATGCCATCCTAATAAGGCTTTGATTTCACTCAGGATCATGCGAGGTGTTACACAGAGAGCTCCTGGAGGCTTTGTTCTATGAGCAGAGGCCTGCTGACTTTGTCCTTCCCTTCATTGCAGAGGAGCATCCTTTGTGTTCTCTGGCATCAACTCCCACTCCAAACCATCAATAGACTACAGTTCTGTTTGTCCCCAGACTAACCTGCTCCAGCCCACCTTAATTTCCCACATCGTGGGAACCTAACAAACCTCCTTTGTCTTTTCCTTCCCAAGCCTTCTGTACACTCAGCCCAGCTGATTTTCTGACTATGAGAGTTCCATTTGCCAATAACCTTAGCTTAGGGTCAACTTCTGACAACTTTCCCATTCATTAATGTATAAATAAATGATCCACTATCGTGCCTACTCTTAAGCTAAATAGTTTCTTGTAAAGGCAAAAAACATAAAATGATGTAGTTATATTTGGCCAGCTTGTATGTTTATGGAGTTTCTCAGTCATCCAGGTCATGGTTGTCCCTAAGGTGTTTTTTTCCAAGAGGCAACTGGACTTTCTGGTTTTTCTTTGAAGATGTTTTGCTTCTCATCCAAGAAGCTTTTTCAGCTCTGAGCTAAAGAAACGTCTTGGATGAGAAGCAAAACGTCTTCAAAGAAAAAAACAGAAAGTCCCGTTGCCTCTTGAAAAAAAACCCCACCTTTGGCATGGTCAGCTTGTATAATCTCAGATCCAAGGGCATGCCACTGGATCATAAGTTCTCTTAGCCGCGGGCTGCAATTGCAATTGTGGCTGTCCCACTCGATCTGGGTTGGTTTGGTTTAGTAGCTATGTTTCTGAGATTATGACAAGAACAGGACAATAATTGGAATCTCATTTCATTAGAGTAAGGCATTGGTCTAACAGACTTTGATTTAACAGACTTTGGATAAAATGGGGGAGGGGATCCATTCTGACATTTCCCAAAGTAATGGACAAATCCACTGTATCCCAAGTAATCAGGACAAGGCTATACGATAGTCCTCCCTGGCAAGGAAAAGCTACCAGACGAGTAACATGAGGACCTACTTTATCAGGCAGTATAAAATTCCCTGGAAAACTAGTATTGTATATAGAGCAAACCAACAAGAGAGCTGCACAAGCTACCCATAGATTTCAGAACAGTACAGATCCTCCAGGAAGAGGGTGTCCGGAATTCCCACAATCAGCATAACCTTTCAACGCATTTGGGAACCCCCAAATTTGGAGAGCATCTGGCTGAGGAAGGAGAGGGTGGATTCCTCTCTAAGCTCTTCAGATGATGAGCACAGCACTTACAGAAAGAGGAGGATGCCAGTGTTGGCCATAGCATATGCCAGCCCAAGGATCCCACTGCCCATGATGGCATTGCTGAGATTGAAAACAGACATCCCAAAAGAAGTCTTCCCTTCAAACTGAAACAAAAACAAGAGTGTGCATCTGAGAGAGAGTTGTATGCCAGCATAACACTTCTCTGCCCTGGGTCTATGCACTGTCCTCACCCCTGGGGCAACAAGGAGTAGAGCATGGTCTACGCTAGCAATCTTTCATCTTTTGCTGCCCATGTTTCTTATCATGAGCTTTAGGAAGAGGGCATCCCTATGCAACATCTGCTTTGAAATCCTGGTCCCTCTGGACTATAAAGTCCAGGTGAGCTTCCTTATACCCCCTAAAATTGTTCTGCAATTCCTTTTTTCTACCGGCTGTTGAGAAAGGTGAACTCTGTTTTGACCTAGCCCCTCTCTCATCCCAGAGCTTGAGAGCAATATTTCTCATATTAGAGTTATCATAGATACATGTCCTTCCATTCTGATTCACTTGCCTCTGGCTTGACATCTTCTGGGTAGGCAGAGCAAGGGGGAAAAGTCTGGTTTGGGTTCAGAGGCTATTTGTTGTAGACTAGAAGGACACACAAAAAAAGGATTGCATCCTTCTTTTAGGAATGGATTTGTATGGCTGTTGTCCAGACCGCCTGCAAAATATGCACTGGTCTTCCATCTTTTCTGTTAACAATTTCCCTGGAGATGTATTTCTTAGTTATCAATGAACATTCAAATTGCAACCATCAATCCAGAACAATATACCAAAACTTACATCAGTGAAATGGGTCTGTTTCTTTTCAGCACCATGTGGAAGAAACTCCTCTATCTCGGTTACATTTGGCTGGTTCTCATCAAATCTGCCACAAGATAATAATGGGAAAAAAACTTTATTTAAGCAGTCTTCCCTTAGAAATCCCCCCTTTCCCAGCTCTGGCTCAAGGGATTAGTATCAGTGGTCATAGTGCTGCAGAATTATCTCTTCTTTCCTCAGGGTCTGCTTCTTAGACATATACTGAAAAGGAATAATCTTATTAAGGAGTCTTTTCACACAAGTCTAACACCATCTCTATTCTAACTTTTGCTATGTATTCCCAAAGTTCCTTCTTATTTTCCAGAGGGCAATATCGTTTATGAAAATAGTTTCAAATATAATGAAAACATAGATTGAATAAGCCTTAAAAACCTGTGTTTCAAAATTCATTTTTGCTTTTCAAAAAATAGGATGCCATGCTGGCTTTTACAACACTATATTTACCAAGAACATATTGGATGTAATAAACTCAGCTTCTTGTGCTTATAGGAATACTTCCTATTCAGGAAGAATACTTCCTATTCTTAAAAAAAAATTAAAAAGTTTACCGCTTCCTACCTACCATGTAAAATAGTGCCAGCAGAATCTTGTGTTTGTCCTTAATAAATGGTCCAAAAACTAGCAGTTAATTTAAACACAGACTTTAGCCAATGTTTCTTGAAAGTTCTAGACAGCAGCAATACAAGTATTATCTTGGGTTTTACAAAGACAATGTAATGCATTTCATGTGTTGGAAACAGCAGCATTCCTGTCAGTTGTGTATCTGATTGCAAATCTGAAAGTACCATAAAATCAATAGAAAATGCATTTATTAGCTGGCTAAATAGAAAGTCCCAAGACTTCCATTATATCCGTCTATTGATTAGGTAAATCAGGATTTACTGCTGTTATGAATGTTCTTCCTCTGCCAGTCAGCAGAACTCAGACATTCCCCATAGTGTCCCTCTCATGTAGAGTGCACGCCAAGATGCATAGCCAATGAGGAGTCTAGTTCTTTTGTCACATAGACACAGAGAGGTACCTAGTCTGTTTGCCGGGGGGGGGGGGGGGCGGAGGAGGACAAGAAAAACAAAACAGAACTGTTTAATGAAATGGCTGTCTCTCATAATGTAGGTAAAAGGTTCAGCTAACAGTATTGAGTTAAACTGAACCTTTATTTACCACACTGTACAAATATTTCACATTTTGTAATATACACACTACACAATGATGTGTACTTCAGTACTTTAAATATATCCTCAGACTGAACAAGAGGAATAGCTTCTCTTCAGAATCTGTCTGAGTAGTAATAATCAGTGTAAAGTTTTATTTATTTATTTGTTAAGATTTGTTTGCTATACATTTCGCCTCATTTTTCCAATATTTTTCTATACGTTCAGTCAGAAATGCTCATTGGTAGCAGAAAAATGACATTTTGTGGTCTACCAGCACTATTACATCTATTGTAAATTTTCTGTTTTAATCACGCTTTTCTTCCCCATATTTTGAATGGTGTGTAGTTGATCTCTTTCATTGCTGAATGCTGGTATTTTGGATGTTCAAAGCATAAAAAATACGATATGTATAGTTTCTCCTTTCTTTTAATAAAATACGATATGTATAGTTTCTCCTTTCTTTTAATAAAATTTGATTTTATCTCCGATGAGTTGGTTTGCCTTCTCAAATGGGGAGGAAAGGTTAGCAACAGAAATTTTGTGATCGTAAGTTGAGAACTACCTGTACTGAGCTAGTAGTTCAAAGTAGGCCATGGGGCTGAAATGTTAAGATCAGCTGAGCTACATTCCGGTTCAGTTCCCTACCTTCCATTTGATCTTGCTTTAAATAATGAATCTATAATGCTGTATTTACTTGGGAGTTTTGTTTACTCGTACGTTTGGGGTTAAGAGCCAGATTTGTACAATGGTTATAAGGCATCAGACTAGAAATCATAAATTCTAGTCCCACTTTAAGGCACAAAGCCAGCTGGGTTTTATCTCAGCCGTAGAAGCCATTTCTAAAAAAAAAAAAAACCTTGCCAAGAAAATTGCAGGGACTTGTTCAGGCTGTCTCCAAGAATCAGGCTTGACCAAATGGAAGAAAAAAAATGTTCAGGGTATCTGCAGGTCACTAATTAGGTGGCAGCATTGATCAGGATGACAACCTAGCAACGTTCTGTAATCATGGGACGAAGGCAGATTAAAAGAACGGAAGTGGAAACAGCAGCACAAGAGTGAGTGGGTGCTAATGGGCAAACATTTGTGGCTCAGAGAGTGAAGTGACAGTCATCCCATTCACTACAAAAGATAATCTTATATCCACGACAAGTGCATTAACTCAATCCTGCAATCTGAGTCAGTCAGATAAGCCAGGCCATGCAAGTCACCTCACCTATCATTTCCTATGGAAGAGGTATTTAATACTGAATGTTTTCCATTTGGCACCATGTCTATCATCTCTGTCTGGATGGGGATTTCTGTAGAGTTCATTTCTTCCTTTTGAGGTCAGTAGCTTCCCTTCTCTAGCAAACAGTTTTCCAACAAGTAGCAGATGCTGGGCTGCTGAGAGGTCCTGTATCTGCAAAGAGAGAAAGAAAGAGAGAGGGGGAGAGAGAGAGGTCAATATCTGGAACTTGTTCTCACAAAATAAAGGGGATAGGGGAGCAGATATGCCCAGTTTGAGGAAGATATTCAGATAGTGCCATGCAACAGCTCTCATCATTTTGGCACATCATTTGGCCCAACTCTGTTGGGACATCACCCTAGAGTTCCTTGCCAGTGTTGGAAATGCTTACCTGAAAGGTGTCCAATAGAGTAAGACTAGTTTATACAAATTGGTATGATGGACTTGCATATAATATTCCATCTTAGCCAAAGGAATACGAACTACAATTACTCTATAATGCGAACTATATCACATACAGTCCTCTGCTGGACCTATTCTCCAATGTTTCTGCTAAATTGAGAGCACCATGAACTGAGACAAGATGAATTTCTATCTGATATGTGCTAAACTACTCAAATAATCCCAGATGACTTTGCTGAGCGTCACAACTTTAAGATATTGGACCAGTCAGTATCCCACTCATCTACTTGCTGGTGTGTCTCTTTAAATATGAATTTTAATAGAGATTTTTAGAGAAATAAGACATGGCATTATAGAAAGAAAAGTTAAGAAAAATAGAGAAGATAAAAAGAAAAAGTGTGGAAAACAATATACATAGAAAAGGAAAATTAAAAAGAGACCTTGAATCTTCTTTGGAGCAGGTAACAGTATAAACACAGTCAATACCCTTCCTCCCTCTAAAATCATTTTACGTAATTTCCTTCTATTCCACATTCAACTCTTTCAATTAACCAATCTAGAAATCACTATTTCCATTTTCAACAAAAAGTTTCCAGTCTTTTAAGAAACTACTATTGTTTTATCAAATGGGTCTATTTTCACTTTTGTCACACATTTTTACATAATCTCACACATTTTTTTGTCTTAACTTCATTAAGAGTATTATTTTAAAAGGCCAGAAAGAAAGGTACCACAGAGAAGAGGGGGGTCAACCTAATTGGATGGAAACTAATCAAGGACAGAAGCAACCTGGAATTAAAGAGAAACTTCTTAACTGTGAGGACAATTAACCAGTGGAAGAGCTTGCCATCAAAAGTTGTAGCTGCTTCATCACTGGAGGTTTTTAAGAAAAGGCTGGACAACCACCTATCTGAAATGGTATAGGGTCACCTGCTTGAGCAAAAGGTTGGACTAGAAGACCTCCAAGGTCCCTTCCAGCTCTATTCTGATTGATTGATAGCATGAATAGATAATGTGATCAGTGCTCTTCAACTACACTGTAGATTAAAGGAAGTCCAAATGTGTTTTGTTCTTTTGTGGAACAGAAGAAAAACCTTATTTGTTTATTCAGTACTGTCAATCGTCCACTTACAATCCTCAATATCATCCTTTGATATTTAACATATCAAAAAGCAAAACACTACTCCATATTTTTCATGAAGCCAAGTTCATGATTCAGTTCATTATTTTGGAAATTCAGCAAAGTGACAAGTTATTGTTTCTAGGCATAGCCTTTTCTACAGCATTTCAAGTCACAGGACCCACTGATAAAAAAAAAAGACTATGGCAAAGAGAACAGGAACAGACAAGCACAGAAAATGATTGTACCCTATGACTATAATTAAGTGTTGTACATTATGATTCTTGATTCTTAATGAATGTATCTTTTCTATTGCCTATACTGAGGGTATTTACACCAAGACAAATTCCTTGTGTGTCCAATCACACTTGGCCAATAAAGTATTCTATTATCTATCTATTATCTATTATGGAGCACCAGTATCACATTTAGACAATTTATTCAGAAGATTTGAGCAGCAATTCAATTCTTCTACGGATGAGTAAATACCAACAAATGTTATGGAAGGTATCCCTAAGTAGACATTCATAGAATTGGTATCCAGTGGAATGATTACAACTGGGGAAACCTGCCTAGTAATAAATAAAATCTTCACTTTGAATTCACATGCGTATACAGGTAGTCCTCAGCTTAAGACCATAATTGAGCCCAAAATTTCTGTTATTAAGTGAGACATTTGTTAAGTGAGTTTTGACCCATTTTATGACTTTTCTTGCTACAGTTGTTAAGTGAATCACTGCAGTTTGTTAAGTTAGTAACCCAGCTGTTAAGTGAATCAGGCTTCCCCACTGATTTTGCTTGTCAGAAGGTCGCCAAAGGGGATCCCAGGACCCTGGGAAACAACATAGGTCATAAATGTGAACCAGTTGGCAAGCATCTGAATTTTTGATCACATGACCACAGGGGTGCTGCAAAGGTTGTAACTGTGTAAAAAAAAAGCAGTCGTAAGTCACATTTTTCAGTGCCGTTGCAACTTTGAACGGTCACTAAATGAAGTGTTGCAAATCGAGGATTACCTGTATTTTAATCCCTATAAGAAATCAAAGAAAAAGAAGAAACGGAATATTATAATGTTATGGGATTTATTTTATCACTGGTTGGAAAATAAAACAAATTAAAATAGACCAGATGAATATATAGAGCAATAAGATTGTTTTAAAAAATGGAATTGTTGTAAAATATAAAATATAACTTTTTTAATTAAAAAAAAGAAAAAGAAAGCAAAGCAATTAATATCTTATCTTAGATTTTGCAGGTGGAAATCCAAGGCAAGTCTTTTCCGATTACTACAGAATTCCATTTTTTTTTTAAAGAGAGAAAAGGGTTATAAATTCAAGTAGTGCTTGACATTTTCTGCATCTAACTATCAGGCAGCAGCACTACCATGGCAATAAAACAAAGCGTCTAGCTATTTGGATTACTGATTTCCTGCTCCAGAGAGTTAAGCACCCTCCTTCCCAACATGGACAATCAGTGTTGATGAATAGGGACAGGTTGCATATTTTCTGGGCTTTGCTTAGCTATATACTGAACTTTTCAGTATGTGCCATTCCCCCACCTCACACTCGAACTACACAGAGTGAGAGGGGGAGGGAGGGAGTGTGTAAATATGTTGCTTTGTAGATGTTCAGTGGACAATAGGGTCCTGAATAAACAGAGAAAACTCCAGCTTGAAACTATGGCTTGGAAGATGACATTAGCATCAGCCTTGGGAATGTAAATACATCTACCTTTGAACATGGGTTAATCTAAAGTCAGAGGGCAAATTTAGACAGCCTTTGAGCCTACATCAGAGGTGGTATTCAGCAGGTTCTGACCAGTTCTGGAGAACCGGTAGCAGAAATTTTGAGTAGTTCGGAGAACCTGCAAATACCACCTCTGACTGGCCCTGTCCCCATTTATTCTCTGCCTCCCGAGTCCCAGCTGGGTCTTCTTTTGTTGCCCTGCACAAGGAGAATGGAGCTGGAAATCAGGTTAGTGGGGTGGGGAGGTAATGGGGATTTTGCAATAACTTTCCCCCAGTAGTGGGGAGGGAATGGAGATTTTACAGTATCCTTCCCCTGCCAGTCCCACCAAACCATGCCACACCAAGCCCACCAAGCTATGCCCACAGAACTGGTTGTAAAAAAAATTGAATCCCACCACTGGCCTACAGCTACTAGTATTTAAAAGATGGCCACTTCCCAGTCTCTTGCAAGCTATGGTAACGTTTACTCTCATAGTAAAATAATGTGGTCTTATTTCTTAGGTACATCTGAGTAGCTTTAATTTCCAAGCTCTTTGGTATTGTTATTATCATTTCCCATAAATAACAATTAGCCCTTTTGCTTTGCTCACCATAACCAAGTTACTCCTTAGCTCTCTTTTTAGATGCTAAACAGGCCGAGTGCTTTAAATCTCTGGCTGTAAGCAGAGCTGCCTCTGTCCCTTTCAAGCGCACAGTTGCATTTGGACCAGAATTGAGAAAAGTACTTGGCATGATGTACAGGAAGCATCCCTGCTCTTGTGCATGAGCAGTAAAATGATGGAATAATAGTCTTAGTCAAATAAATGATTAATAAGAATAATAATGTATACATATATATTAGTTTGATAATATGAGAATTTATACACATTGCAAATGAGGACTATGGAGAGGATGCACAAAAGACTTGTAACCAACCGACACACTGTAGTATGTAATTGAAGATGGTTTTATGTTTTATGTATTGTTTGTGTATGTTTGTCTAAAAATAAAATTCTTTAAAAAAAAAAGAGCAACAGCAAAGGCAGCTGCAGCAGGAAGAGAAGAAGGCTGTTGGGGAAATGGGCTAAACTGAATGCAGTGGGGTGCAGAAGGCCCACAATTAAATCTGGAAAAAAAATATGGAAAACAATTATAGGTAGTCCTCAACTTGCAACAGTTCACTTAGTGACCAAGTTGCAACAGCACTGAAAAAAGTGACTTTTTCACACTTACGACCGTTGTAGCATTCCCCCCATGGTCATGTGATCAAAATTCAGATGTTTGGCCACAGAATCACATTCATGACCCTTGCAGTGTGCCAGAGTCATGTGACCATCTTTTGTGACTGTCAGGATTCCAGCAATCGCCCTAATTACATCATGATTCTTGAGCCAAACTTCAAAAAAAACTTCTGACGAGCTAAGTCAATGGGAAAACCAGATTCACTTAAGCAACCGTGTTACTCATTTGACAGCTGCAGCGATTCTTTTAACAACGGTGTCAAGAAAGATGGTAAAATGGGGCAAAATTCACTTAACAAATATTCCACTTAACAACAAAAATTTGGGGCTCAATAGTGGTTGTATGCCGAGGACTACCTACCTAAAGGAATCCCGTCTTCTCTTTCCTAATAAGTAGACTATTGGAAACAAATGTGGAAGGTTCCAATTATGGATGGAAAATGGCATCATCTACTTTTTTTTGCAGGAAAACTGTAGGCAGGAATATATGAGGTCATTAATACTGCTAGTTCAGACAAGATTCTACATTTTATTTTGCTTACTGGAATAATCCAGCATTCTTTTTCGTTCTTTTTTTTAAGTTTACCAATTCTTCATAAATTCCAAAACTTAACCTCCAGGGGGAAAAAAAAAATCTGACCTGCTGCTCAGAGCAGAGAGAGTTGGTAATACCAACTGTGCTGCA